CCCCCCCCCCCCCCCTCCCCGCGTCTTCAACTTTCTTTTACATCACGTTTCTTATCTACCCAAAAGCTATCTATGGACAAAGAAAGTGAAAGAAATCTATTTTTTCAACTCTTGCCACGAAATCAGGATTTTGCTCGAGTTTTCCTGACCTTCGCTCTTAAATATTCTCGAAAGTGTCGTTTGTTTGTCACAAACAACAACTAAGTTTGTACTTCTTACCATTTTGAATCATATAATGTTCATCCCTTCTTTTGTAAACGGCCTTAGGTTTTTTTCTTCTGGGATAGCAACCTACTTCTTCTTCAGCAACAGTGCAAAAACGAATTGACAAACAGGTTTCCGCCATCGTTTTTTATGCGAACTAATCACAGCACCTTTTTTGTTCGTGCTTCGCGCTCGAATTAATTTTTGAACCCTGATAAAACACTGTAGTTTGTGTTCCCTCCTGCAACGACCATAGCTCTTGAACCAATAAGCAGGCGCACAGTCACTTAGTTATTGCAGTATAAGCTGTTATAGACCTTAGCTCTCGACCGAAGAAAGGGCCAGAAATTACTCAGTTATATTGTATAGAAGCCAAATGAATCACTCACTCCATAAATGCATTTTACTTTACTGTTAATAGTTGGCGCTCCTATTGACGGTGGATTGGGAGAGTGGAGTCAATGGTCACAGTGTAAACCCCCTGGTATTGCAAGTAGAACACGATTGTGTAACCGACCACCTCCCGCGAGGGAGGTGCAATCATGTCGGGGTCACGTATTTGAAGCACTGTTTTGCCTTTTTCCAGGTGAGTAAATGTGAGATAAGAAAAAAAAGGGGGGAAGAAATTCCACCTTCTTTTATGGGAACAACCGTGATTAAAGACAGAGAGTGACGTTATGCCTTTTAAACCTTTATACACTAGGAACAACATTTAAATTTAACTGCTCCCTATTGGGTCTCTTTTGGTTAGAGAACTCGAAGATCTAATGTGGAGGTCAATGACGAGACCAATCCTCGCCCAGGCCAAAAGTTTGTAAATGTTACGTCCCAAGACAGTTTTAGAAGGATTTTGGCATTTGAATAATACTTAAAGAAACAAAGAGCTAGCATTAATATATTGTGCAGCATATTTCCATAAATCAAGCACAATTTTCGGCATTCAGAAAAATACGAGCTGTCAAAGCATACCTACATGACTTTGTTATTACTGGTGCAGCTCTGTACCTAACAAAATTAAAAAGAGAAGAGGGAGCTGTTATGACCAACAGAAGCCCGGCATTTGCCTAGTTTGCAAGTTAGTGCAAACAGTAACAATGAAGTCTTACCAGCAGACAAGGAGTCCTTTTAGACCTATGGTATCCCAGGTAG